CTGGCTAGCTTGACTCCTACTCCTACTCCTACTCCTACTCCTACTCCTACTCCTGCTCTCCTCCTCCTCCTCCTCCGCCTCCTCCTCCTCCTCCAACTCCTCCGCCTCCTCCTCCTCCTCCTCCTCCTCCTCCTCCTCCTCCTCCTCCTCCTCCTCCTTCTCCTCGCGACGCCACCCCCTCGAGCGCGCCGCTCAGAGGAGGCGCTGCTGCAGTCCGAGTCCGTGGTCGCGGAGATCTACCGCCGGGCCGTGCAGGGCGAGCAGCCTCGCCCGGACCCGCGGCTGGCGGCGCTCTTCCCGCACGGCATCGCCCGGTGGAGCATCCCCGCCGGCAAGGCTTGGCTACGCGTAAGAGAAGCCCTCCGCAGGAGTGGCCTATGGTGCCGGCCTCGAGGGGTCGCAGGGGAGTAAGAGGTCATGATAGTGAGACGTTCCAGGAATTCCCAGATTTCCGGGATGACCCATTTTCCTGATGCTCTGCACCCGCTGCGCCGCTGGATGCTCTGGAAATTTTGGACCGCATGATGAGCCAATCTTCGAATGCCCTCATTGTCACCCCACTGCACGCGTGGATTCGGCGCCACTGTGGCCCCCTGAGCTCGCGCACCAGCAGTCACTCTTGCCTGGGGTCACCCTCGCGTGTCGCCGAAAGGCGGCCGAGCTGGCGAGGTGGTCCGCCACGCCGGGGGGGGGGTAGGCTGAGAGGGAACCTAGTTTCGAGGTTCGAGGTCTTCGGTCGTTTTCGTCGGTCCTGGGCGGCCTCCCAGCCTCAGGATGCCTTCGTGCGGCTGCGCCTCGCCGAGAACGTATCCCCGGGGGGGGGGGGGGGGCGCGCGTCGTCCAAGCTAGAGCCTGAAGGCCACTGGGGAGTGGGCCCTCAGTGGGGACGCAGCGACCCCCTTCTCCTCCCTCCCCCACTCCTCTCGGCTCCTCCTCCCTCCTCCCCTCTTCCTCCCCTCCCCCTCTCCCCTCCTCCTCCCCTCCCCTCCCCTCCCTCCTCCCCTCCTCCCTCCCCCACTCCTCTCGGCTCCTCCTCCCTCCTCCCTTCCCCCCTCCTCTCGTCTCCTCCTCTCCCTGGCCGGGGGAGCGGGCCAACTCCGGGGCAACGACAGTGGAGTCAGGAGGGGAGAAGACACACAGACACAAGAAATCGCCCACTCCCCAGGAAAATGTTTGGGAAAGTGTGGGCAGTGGGGGGGAGACAAGCACTTAGAAGACATCGGAAAATATAGGGGATCCTGCTATTTGTGTGTGCTCATCTGTGTGTCCCAGGGCCCCTTCCTGGAGACTGGCCCAGGGGGGGGGGAAGCCTCGACCCCCGATCGCCCGCTCCTCGCTGACAGGGGCCCCGTGGCCCGCTCCCGCGCCCAGGTGCGTGCGGCTCCGCTATCTGGGGCCTGTCGCCGATCCGTCGGCGACGCATCGCCGATGCCGGCTCGACTCGAGTCGAGCCTGTCCCTTTCACAGGAGGGATATTAAAAAGAAAAAAACTACTCAAACCATAATCCGGGGACCATGCTGTAGAACCATGTTTTTGGTAGTTTTGATATGTTCAGGGCATTTCCCGGAAAGGGCGTCGGCCCAGGGTTCTCTTTGAGCATTGTTAAGGAGCCAGGGGGACGCCGGCGGATTTCCGTTCGATGGAAAAAAAGTCAAATCAAATTCGGCGTGGGAAAAATACGTTTCGCGCGTGCCCGCTCGAGGAAAGTGCGCCCCCCATCTCGGATCCTCGATAAATAACGGGGTCTGCAGACACCCGCTTTTCCACGTAAAAAAAGGTGCATGGCATTTTCAGCAGAATTTTCAAGAAGAGCCAAAGTCTGGAGCCCCGACCTGGATACAAAAAATGTGAAAATGTTGACTTGTTGCGTGCCTGCTCGAGGATGGCGCGTCCTGCGCGCAGAAATTCTGGGGATGTCTCGAGCGAAACGCTAGTTTTGCAAAATTTGACGGGCCTACGCGCTCCAGGATGCCTGGATCGCAAACCCAGTGTAATTTACAAGGGATCGCGCCTTTGGGAGCGCGGACGCCGCGTAATTTACGGTGGCTCGGGGCCCTGGGAGCGCGGATTCAGCGTGCGTAATTTACAAGGGATTGTGGCCCTGGGAGTGCGGGGCCTGTGTAATTTATGAAGGGGTGCGGCTTTTGGAGTGCAAATCCAAGGTAATGTATGAAAGATCGCGGCTTTGGGAGCGCAGATACCGTATAAATTTACAGGGACTGCGGCCTTGGGAGCGCGGGTGCCGCCTAATTTGCGAGGGATCGTGGCCCTGGGAGCGTGGGCGCCACGTAATTCACGAGGGATCGTGGCCCTGGGAGCGTGGATGCTGTATAATCCAAGATGTGCTGAGGAAGTCTCGAGCGAAACGGCTGTTTTGTGTTACATACTGTTCCTCTCCTGGGGACCAGAATTCAGAGGATGCTTCAGGCGAAATGATTGTTTTCACGTGCCCAGATCTTGAGGACGTCTCGAGCGAGACGCTTGGTTTCACGCGTCTAGTTTGCCCAGGCAGATGTCTAGCACGAGGATGTGTTGAGGATGTCTCAAGCGAAACGCTTGTTTTCACGTGTCCAGATCGCCTAGGCGGATGTCTAGCATGAGGATTTGGGCAGGATGTCTCGAGCGAAACGCTTGCCCCCAGCACGTTCGGTAGCGCGTTCCCTTGGCAAGTCCCGCGGCGCGTCCCCATGGCACGTCCCCTGGCACCTCGCTTGGCGCGTCTCTTGGGACGTTCCGCGGCACGTCCTCCTGGCATGTTCCCTTGTCGCTGAGCTCTGGGGCAGCTATTATGTGCTCAGGCAGCCCGTGCTTAAGATCCACATCAGTTCGGTCAGGACTCGGATGCAAAGGAAGACTCGATCCACAACATTGTAGAGCACAATCACGGCATGTCACATCGCAGTTCAGCACGGCGCAGCACAGTATATCTCTCGGCACGGTACATCAAGATCGATACACTCAGCATTGCAACTTGGCACGTTCACTGGCACGTTCCGTGGCGAGTCCCCCTGGCACGTCACGCGGCGCGTCCCTAGGCACGTCCCGTGGCACGTCCATTGGCACGTTCCGTAGCGCGTCCCCTTGGCACGTCCCGCGGTGCGCCCCCGTGGCACGTCCCCTGGCACGTCGTTTGGCGCGTCTTTTGGGACGTTCCGCGGAACGTTCTCCTGGCATGTCCCCCTGTCAATGAGCTCTGGGGCAGCTACTATGTGCTCAGGCAGCTCGAGCTTAAGATCCAGATCAGTTCGGTCAGGACTCGGATGCAAAGGAGGACTCGATCCACACCGCTATAAGGCACAATCTCGGCATGGCACATCGCAATCCAGCACGGCGCAGCACAGCACAGCCCTCGGCACGGCACATCCAGATCGATACCTGCAGCATTGCATTTGCCCGTCGCCCAGTTTGGTGTATTTGAAGCGTTGCCATGCCTCACATTTCTATATTCCTTTCCGGGTTCGTGGGTCGATCCTGCTTTTTATTTGCCGTCCACCCCCCCCCCCTTGTATAGGGGGACATGCCCGACCTAAGGCTCGACGTGTCCCCCCTATGAGCAGGTTCCCCCTTAGCAAGTGGCACGCGTGCCCTGGCTCTTGCACCGAGGAGCTGCGAGGGACAGGAGGCTTGGCATCGCTCGGACGTGTGCATTTTTTCTCGGCGAGAACCATCGAGGGACCATCCTGGACCATCGAGCCAAAAAAACACGCACGGGACCGAAACATGCACGGGAAATGGACGTCCGAGCGACGACAAGGGAGGCTGTTGCGCCTCCTTCCTCCGGGCGCCTCCTTCCGTGGCGGGGCGGGGGGGGAGGACGAAGGACGGACGAGCGAACGGCGACGACGAGCGCACGTAACGAGGGGCCGAGCCCCAGAGCACAGCCGCGCCAGAGCATCGGCACGACCCCATCAGGTGGGGCGACACCAATCGAAGAAGGCAAAGCTGCATGAAGCCCACACTCTCGGAGCTCTGCGGGGGGTTCTCGGGTGGGGCGCTGGGCCCGCCCTGGCGGCGCGCTCCGCGCGCCCAGAGCTGGGGGGGGGGCTCTGGCGCCGACCCAGGACAGATCCGCAGCACGGGTCGGAAAGGCCAGGCGATCGCAAACGTGGATCAAGGGGGCGTGGATTGGCGACAAGTCCCGTGTCCGTGGGGGGGTCGCGGATTTCCGCCGCCGAGCGAGGCGGCAGCGGCCGCATTCTGGGGAGGGCACCTCCCCCGATCCATGGATTTGGCGACCGTGCGCCAAATCCATGGATCGCTAATCCATGTGTGCGCGCCCTGGCACTGGGGTCGCGCTCGTGGCCTCGGCCGAGCTGGCCTGGCACGGAGGCAGGTCCGCGCAGACCTCCGCAGGTGTGTGCTTGTGCAGTTTTCTCTTGTTCTGGCCCAGCAGCTGAAGATGCCCTGGCTGGCGAACCGGTCGGACCGATCCTACGAGCTCCGCGCGGCGCCCGACCAGAAAAGAGTGCCTCGCACGGGCGCCGGCAGCGTGGAGCTGACGGGGGGAAGTCGGAGGAGGCCTGGGGGGGGGGGTCCAGCCTCGGCTACGCGTAGGAGTGGCCCTTCGCCAGCGTGACCTTCTCGGTGCGGGCCCACAGCCGAAGGAAAGGAAGCGGCACACGTAAGCACACACTTCGGGAGCTCCGAGCGGATTGCTTAGATCGGGGCTGTGCCTCCCTGGCGGCGCCTCTGGCGCCGGCCCCATGGTGCGCCCCGCACGCCAGGGAGAGGGTTCCAGCGCCGATCCGAGAAATCCGCACTGACCTCCAGCAAAATTATCCGGACGAAGAGCCCAACCATACGCAAGTGTGAGAACCGCAGGGCAGGTGGGACGAAGCAAGGGGGAATTCCCTGTGGGGGCACGAACCGTGTGAGGGGTGCGCCAAAATGGGGCGGGGCCGCCATGCGAACCCTGCCACCGGGGCCTTCGGTGGAGCTCTCCATGGGGCCACGAACCGTGTGAAGGGTGCGCCAAAATGGGGCGGGGCCGCCATGCGGACCCTGTCACTGGAGCCTTCGGTGGAGCTCCCTCTGGGGCCACGAACCGTGTGCGGGGTGCGCCAAAATGGGGCGGGGCCGCCATGCGAACCCTGCCACTTGGGCTTTCGGTGGAGCTCCCTGTGGGGCCACAAACCGTGTGCGGGGTGCGCCCAAATGGGGCCGGGCCGCCGTGCGAACCCTGCCATTGGGGCCTTCGGTGGGGCTCCCTATGGGGCCACGAACTGTGTGAGGGGTGCGCCAAAATGGGGCGGGGCCGCCATGCGAACCCTGCCACTGGGGCCTTCGGTGGAGCTCCCTATGGGGGCACGAACCGTGTGAGGGGTGCGCCAAAATGGGGCGGGGCCGCCATTCGAACCCTGCCACTGGAGCCTTCGGTGGAGCTCCCTATGGGGCCACGAACCGTGTGAGGGGTGCGCCAAAATGGGGCGGGGCCGCCATTCGATCCCTGCCACTGGGGCTTTCGGTGGAGCTCCCTGTTGGGCCACGAACCGTGTGAGGCGTGTGCCGAAGTGGGGCGGGGCCGCCATGCGGACCCTGCCACTGGAGCTTTTGGTGGAGCTCCCTATGGGGCCACGAAACGCTGTGCTGGATGGGCGAAACGCAGAGAGGAAGGAGGAGGGGGAGAAGGAAGGGAAGAAGGCGGGAGGGGGGGAGGGACGCGCGGCGCCGTCTCTTCACAACGAGGACTCAACACCACAGGATGGTTGGGAAATCTGTTCACGCCGCTCGTCCCTCCTCTCCACGGGCCCCCCCCCAACACAGGCTTGTGCGCTCGGACCTGGGCCCCCCATGCGGCCCACCAGAGGCCGCACACCAAAGGATTCGCTCTTGCCCTCGGCTGCCCCTTGCGTGTAGCCCATGGTCGTGCGGGGCGCACCGCGGAAGTGGGCCCGAAACTCTTCCGGAGGGGCCTCAACCCCCCTGTCGACCGAGAGGCCCGCGAGGGCAGCGAGGCTCCAGCCGCAGCCGTGTTCTCCAGGGAGGTGCGGCTTGTGGCGGGCCCCGGCTCCAGAGGGAGGAGGTGCAGCAGCAGGAGGGCGAGAAGAAGGTCGACGATAGGGGAACGAAGAATGACATGAGCACATGAAAACTCGGAGGTCCGCGCGGATCTCTCGGATCCGCACAGGACCCCCCCGGTGGCGCCTCCAGCGCAGCCCCTGGCGTGCTCCGCGCGCCAAGGGGGGGGGGTCCAGCGCCGATCCGAGAAATCCGCGCGGACCTCTGAGTTTTTTATTTTTATGTCATTCTTCGTTCCCCTATGGAGGGGGCGGAGGGATGCGGAGGAGGATGGGAGGCGGAGGAGGAGGAGGGTGTTGGAGGTACCCTTGTTCCCTGTGCCGCTCTGGAGGTCCTCTCGGCGCCGTCCTGGAGAATGTTTGGCGCCCGCTTATGTTTGTGTCATCCTCCGTTCACCTGGAGACGGGCGATGGGAGGGAGAAGAAGCCCTGGGCTGTCGTCGCGCACAGGTCCTCCTCCTCCTCCTCCTCCTCCTCCTCCTTCTCCTCCTCCTCCTCCTCCTCCTCCTCCTCCTCCCCCTCCTCCTCTTCCTCCTCCTCCTCCTCCCCCTCCTCCCCTTCCTCCTCCTCCTCCTCTCCTCCTCCTCCTTCCTCCTCCCCTCCTCCTCCTCCCTCCCCTCCCTCCTCCCTCCCTCCCTCCCTCCCTCCCTCCTCCCTCCCTCCCTCCCTCCCTCCCTCCCTCCCTCCCTCCCTCCTGCTCCTCCTCCTCCTCCTCCGTCTGCTACTCCTCCTCCTCCTCCTCCTCCTCCTCCTCCTCCTCCTCCTCCTCCTCCTCCTCCTCTTCCTCCTCCTCCTCCTCCTCCTCCTCCTCGTATCCTCCTCCTCGAGTTGGATGAGGAGTACGAGGAGTCGGAGAAGAGTGGCGATGAGGAGCACGAGGAGTGGGAGGACGATGAAGGCGATGAGGATGAGGAGTCGGTGAGGGCGATGAGCGAAGATGAGGGCAGCGAGGAGGACGAGGGCGATGAAGGTGAATGAGGACGAGAAGGATGGAAGCCAGGGCTGACGCCGTCTCGGCAGGAAATTGTGGCAGCCATCCTGGGTCGAGTCGCTGCGTCCCAGATCCACCGACGCTCATTACCACACTTGTTGAGTACATGTCCGAGACAGCAGTGTTTACGCCTGGTTGAGATGCAGTTCGATGTGACATTTATCCGTAAGGGCTTCGCCCCCATGCCGCAGGCCCCCCTCTCTTAGAATGGGACTTGACAGAGCTGTGTTGGGATGTCTGGACGCTGACGTGAAGCAACTTCGGGACTTCACGCGAGGGCCAGTATTAATGTACAAGGGTGTATGGCTTCGGTGACGCTACTATGAGGTAATGTGCGATGGCTTATGGCTCCGGGCGCGCGAATATGGCATAATTTTAAAAAGGATGTATGGCCTCGGGGACGCCACTGTCGCGCAACTTAGAATGGTGTATGGCCTCGGGGGCGCAGCTGTCGCGTAAGTTGCAGGGGTGTGTATGGCCTCGGAGGCGAGACTGTGGTGTCATCTGCAAGGGGGGGGGGCGGCCTCGGGGACGCGGGCAGGGTGGTCTTTTTGAAGAAGGCTTATGGCCCCGAGGACGCGAGCATTGTGTGCTCTTCGGGCGAAGAGAACTGTGCACATGCACCGGTCCTGGCCAGGCCCATCCTTGGCCCCAGGATCGGTGCACATGCCTCCCTGGCCAGGGCAGGAGGGCGTATGCACCGAGCTTGGGCTCAGGACGGACCTGGCCAAAATCGCGAACATTGTGTACTTTTCGGGCGCCCACGAGGGCGCGAAGTTACTCGCGCTTGCGGTTCGGCTCCGATTTCTCCTCTTCCTTCTCTTCACCCCTGGGAGGCGGCGCGGGAGCGCGAAGTGATCCGCACTTCGCGCTTCGCGCAGCGCGAAGCGTGAAGTTGGGAGCCCTTGTCGAGGGTTTCTAGCTTCGGGGGCGCAGGTATTCCGTAATTTACGAAGGGTTATGGCTTCGGGGGCGCGAACATTGAGTAATTTGCTGGGTTTCATGGCATCTGGGACGCGAGCATGAAGTAATCTACTAGGGATTACGGCCTCGGGGACGCGACTATCATGTATGTTTACGTGTCCTACGACCCCCCGGGAATTCAGACAACGCGATTCGGGGACGTAACCAGGACGCTGTTCGGCTCCCCCTCGCGCGTTTAGCAACAGTTTACACTAATGAAGCAGGAAGCAGGACTGTAACAGTGGAAACTGGAAACTGCAGGGAGCTGCAAGCCTAATCTTCGCAGCCTGATGGCCCCGCAAGGAAGCCGGTGGATTTTTGCGACCGCGGCTGCTCTCGTCTGTACAGCGGGTGCCGAGGTCCAGCTCATGCAGATGTGGGCTCGTGGCTCCGCTGCGAGCGATGTCTCCATCGTGCGGCCACGCTCGGGCTGTCAGACACCTATCGAGGGCGATCCCTGCTATGACATCGTAATGTGGGCGATGCAGACCGGTATCGAGGCTTATCCAGAACGGTTCGTTCCTCTGACGAAGAATTCCAGCTTCAAGGATTTCCAGCGGCTAACATCCCAGCTGTCCGACGACTGCCTGGAGCCCTGTGCGACGCCGGCCCTGGAGGAGTGCCACACGGCAGTGGAGGGCGATGCGTGCCACGAGAAGGTGGTGTGGGCGATGCAGACGGGCGTCGTGGAGAAGCCCGATTGGTACCCGTCTTTGACCAGGAGTTCCAGCTTCGAGGACTTCCAGCGGTTCCTGCACGGCCACGCCAGGTTTTCCGACGTGTGCCCAGAGCCATGTGCGGCGCCGGCCCGGAAGGAGTGCCACACGGCAGTGGAGGGCGATGCGTGCCACGAGAAGGTGGTGTGGGCGATGCAGACGGGCGTCGTGGAGAAGCCCGATTGGTACCCGTCTTGACCAGGAGTTCCAGCTTCGAGGACTTCCAGCGGTTCCTGCACGGCCACGCCAGGTTTTCCGACGTGTGCCCAGAGCCATGTGCGGCGCCGGCCCGGAAGGAGTGCCACACGGCAGTGGAGGGCGATGCGTGCCACGAGAAGGTGGTGTGGGCGATGCAGACGGGCGTCGTGGAGAAGCCCGATTGGTACCCGTCTTTGACCAGGAGTTCCAGCTTCGAGGACTTCCAGCGGTTCCTGCACGGCCACGCCAGGTTTTCCGACGTGTGCCCAGAGCCATGTGCGGCGCCGGCCCGGAAGGAGTGCCACACGGCAGTGGAGGGCGATGCGTGCCACGAGAAGGTGGTGTGGGCGATGCAGACGGGCGTCGTGCGAACAGTGAGGAGATGACGTGTGCCAGCCATGAGTGCCACACGGCAGTGGTGCGTGCCACGAGAAGGTGGTGTGGGCGATGCAGACGGGCGTCGTGGAGAAGCCCGATTGGTACCCGTCTTTGACCAGGAGTTCCAGCTTCGAGGACTTCCAGCGGTTCCTGCACGGCCACGCCAGGTTTTCCGACGTGTGCCCAGAGCCATGTGCGGCGCCGGCCCGGAAGGAGTGCCACACGGCAGTGGAGGGCGATGCGTGCCACGAGAAGGTGGTGTGGGCGATGCAGACGGGCGTCGTGGAGAAGCCCGATTGGTACCCGTCCTTGACCAGGAGTTCCAGCTTCGAGGACTTCCAGCGGTTCCTGCACGGCCACGCCAGGTTTTCCGACGTGTGCCCAGAGCCATGTGCGGCGCCGGCCCGGAAGGAGTGCCACACGGCAGTGGAGGGCGATGCGTGCCACGAGAAGGTGGTGTGGGCGATGCAGACGGGCGTCGTGGAGAAGCCAGATTGGTACCCGTCCTTGACCAGGAGTTCCAGCTTCGAGGACTTCCAGCGGTTCCTGCACGGCCACGCCAGGTTTTCCGACGTGTGCCCGGAGCCTTGCGCCGCACAGGATGCCACAGATCGTGTCCGAGCAGAGAGCTTTCAGACGTCAGATCCGCCGTATGGTTCGACTCCATCTCCCGCGCCAATCGATTACAATAGGTTGGTGTCTGGTCCGGAGTCCTGCGACGTGACGGATGGATCTTCCCCGAGCTCCGTTTACCCATGTATGTGCGGATCGGATCTTTGCGCAGTCAATCAGATTTGTTCTGGATATTCATGCGCGCCGATAGAGTTCCTCAGGGTGGAATGGCCATGCTCGAACCCCGGGATCGGCAGCTCGTACTTCAGTCTTTCAGGAGTAAGCGCGAACGGGGCACCAGTATACACCAATTCCGTCGGCAACTACATCTACTGGGATGCTTCGTGTGACGGGTCGGGCAGTCAAAATCAAGATCGATGGATTATGGATGTGGACGCCCCAAACGTGACGGCTCCCATGGACCTGGATTCCAGCCTGGACTGCACTTTCATGGGTTACCATGGCACCCCAGAGTTCTTCGGCGTCCCTCTGGGGAACTCCACTTGGACCGTCGCGTGCGACGGCGCGCAGTCTGACACGACGGTCGCGATCACCCATGTGCAGGTCATACCGACCCCCGGCCCGACGCTGGAGCCTGGCTTGCCGTGCGCGTGCGCAACCCCGTGCGGCGGGTTTGTTTACGTGGACACAGACGGGGATGGCTGCATCGAGTATCCGGAGTGCATGCCGAACGTGGAGCTCGCAGAGCGCCTTCCCGAGATGGACGCGGACGGGGACGGTTGCGTGACCGAGGCCGAGTGCGACCTCTCCCCATGGTCGTACCTTCTTCCCAACTTCGCTGTCGCGGCCCCCGAGTGTGATGAAGGTTCCTACGTCGCGGTGGGAACCAGCGTGTGCCAGCAGTGCCCCGGTGGGGAAACCCGGCGCCGTCGCGCGACCACGTGCACCGAGTGCCCTCTTGGGAGGGCGTACCCCCCCGGTTTCTGCGGGCACCTCGACGACTGCATCGCGGGTGCGTACCTCATGGGCCCGGTTTCGGCAGGCGGCGACGTCATCTGTGCAAGCCAGGACATCGACGAGGGAGGGGCACTGCTGACGGTGGGCGTCCGAGTCACGATTGTGGCGCGCGCCCTGGGCCATTTCCAGAGCCTGACCATCGAGGATATCACCTCTCGCACCAACGGGACCGTCTGCTTCCGCATGAGTGGCCCAGCGGTGCTCAATTTCTCCGCGTGCGATCCGGTCATTGAGACTTGCAGTGGGACAAGCGGACTTGCGTTCAGCGACTCGTACCCTTGCGGCTGCGGCACGGTAATTTGTCAAGACGGTGAAAGGTGTGACTTCGGGAGCGCAGGTAATGACCACGGGCAGGGTGGATATTGCATCGGCCCGGGACCTGGAATTCTGCGGACGCCGTCCCCGACAGTGTCGGCCAAGGGGGACCCGCACTTGGTCAACTTGCTGGGAGAACACTTCGACGTGAACCACGGGGGCGAGTTCACTCTGCTGAGGATCGGGTATTGAGAGAACGCCCTTCCAGACAAGTCGACTGAGAAAATCTGCAGAGGTTCACTCGACATCGGCATCCGAGTGCACCAGTGCAGTCCCCAGTCGGTGTTGCTATTGACGTGCGCTTCGGCAGATGCATTCGCCTGTTTTGTTTTGGACGTGGATGGGCGACTCCACCCAGATCCACTCGGAAAGTGGTGTCGTACGCACGTGGAGTGCGGCTTGCAGTTTTCACTAAAGGGCATGTTGCTGGAGGGGCTTGTTCAGGAGGGGAAGAAACACACACAGACACAGTGAATCGTCGGCTCCCAGGAAAGTACGCCAAAATATGGGAAGCGGGGGGAGGACGAAACACAAAACGCATGGGCAAATATGGGGAATCTTTTTATTCGTGTGTATTTCTTTGCGTGCCCTGGGGCCCCTTCCTTTGTGCCCAGCCCCCCGCCGAGGATCCCGCAGGACGCCGGCAGACCCGCCGAGATGGAGCTGAAGGCCTCCGTCCGGCCCGAGAGCGGCAGGCCGTGCACCACGTACATCACGCAGGTGGAGCTCTCGGGCGCCTGGCTCGGTGGCAAGGCCACCGGGGCCATCCCGATCCTCTCGGCTCTTTCGATTCGAGTCGATCCGATTTCGGGTGCGGCTTCGAGTTCCGACTTCGGCCCGGGTTCCTTTTTTTCAGGCCTCGGCTCGGGCCGCTGGGCATCGACTCGTCGATCTCGATGCCTTCCCACCGGCCTGCCGGCTTCTGCCAGTTCGACGTACTTCGAGGGTCGATTCGATTGTCTGATTGGATCATGGGTCATCCGGAGGTCGTGCAGGTGCGCTCCTACAAGGCGAAGGCCAAGGACGAGGCCGGCAAGTTCCTGGGCCTGCGCGTGATGAACAGCGGCGTATATGAGGAGGCCCTCGGAGAAGAAACATTAGCCTGGCGAAGGACCCAAACATATGCAGCTGCGAGTAACGTAGGATATCAACTTCTCATCATAGGCAGCGCGCCGCGAGAGGGATGCAGCGCGGGGCAACGCGGAATGGAAACCCTTAAACGTGTACGGGATGTGCCGGAGTGGGCTGGGGGACGCATGCGGGCGCTGTCACTGAAGCCTTCGGCGGAGCTCCCTATGACATGCGAGCCGTGCCACTGGGGCGTGTGAGGCGCGTGGCGAAATACAGGCGACGCCGCCATGCGAACCCTGCCGCTGAGGCTTGCAGTGGAGCTCCCCATGGGGCTACGAAGCGTGCGGTGTGTGTGTGTGTGTGTGCCGAAATGAGGCGGGGCCGCCATGCGAACCCTGCCGCTTGGGCCTTCGGAGGAGTCCCCCATGGGGCCGCGGAACGTGTGAGGCGTGTGCCGAAATGGGGCAGGGAACCGCATGCGAACTTTGCCACTGGGGCCTTCGGTGGAGCTCCCTATGGGGCCACGAAGCGTGTGAGTGGTGCGCCAAAATGAGGCGGGGCCGCCATGCGAACCTTGCCACTGGGGCCTGCGGTGGAGCTTTCTATGGCGCCATGAACCGTGTGAGGGGTGTGCCGAAATGGGGCGGGGAACCGCATGCGAACTTTGCCACTGGGGCCTTCGGTGGAGCTCCCAATGGGGCCACGAAGCGTAGGAGGGGTGCGCCGACATGAGGGTGGAACTGCATGCGAACCCTGCCATTGAGGCCTTCGGTGGAGCTCCCTATGGGGCCACGAACCGTGTGAGGCGTGTTCCGAAATGAGGGTGGAACTGCATGCGAACCCTGTCACTGAGGCCTTCGGTGGAGCTCCCGATGGGGCCACGAACCGTGTGAGAGGGGCACCGAATTGGGGCCAGAACTGCATGCGAACCCTGCCACTGGGGCCTTTGGTGGAGCTCTCTATGTGGCCACGAACAGTGTGAGGGGTGCGCCAGAATGAGTGTGGAACTGCATGCGAACCCTGCCTCTGGGGCCTTCGATGGAGCTCCCTATTGAGCCACGAACCGTGTGAGTGCGTCGAAATGAGGGTGGAATTGCATGCGAACCCTGCCACTGAGGCCTTCGGTGGAGCTCCCTATGGGGCCACGAACCGTGTGAGGGGTGCGCCGGAATGAGTGTGGAACTGCATGCGAACCCTGCCACTGGAGCCTTCGGTGGAGCTCCCTATGGGGCCACGAACCCTGCCGCTGTGGCCTTCGGTGGAGCTCCCTATGGGGCCACGAACCGTGTGAGCGGTGTGCCGAAATGAGGCGGGGCCGCCATGCGAACCCTGCCACTGGGACCTTCGGTGGAACCCCCTTTTGGGGCCACGAGCCGTGTGAGGGGTGCGCCGACATGATGGTGGAATTGCATGCGAAACTTGCCACTGAGGCCTTCGGTGGAGCTCCCTATGGGGCCACGAACCGTGTGAGTGGTGCGCCGAGAGTGGGGTGGAACTGCATGCGAACCCTGCCACTGGGGCCTCCAGTGGAGCCCCCTGTGGGGCTACGAACCATTGTATTAGGTATGCAGAAACGGAAACATGCGGAGGGCAGAGGCAAGGAGGCGGAGGAGGGAGAAGGGGGAGGAGGAGGAGGAGGAGGAGCAGAGGAGACGCGGGGCGCTGTCTCTTCAAAACGAGGGCCCAACACCGCAGGATGGTTGGGAAAATTATCTTGGCGAAGGACCCAACCATACGCAAGTGTGCGAACCGCAGGGCAGGTGGGGCGAGCGAAGCAAGGGGAATTCCCAATGGGGCCACGAACCGCGTGAGGGGTGCATCCAAAAGGGGCGGGGCCGCCATGCGAACCCTGCCACTGGGGCCTTCGGTGGAGCCCCTATGGGGCCACGAACCGTGTGAGGGGTGCACCAAAATGGGGCGGGGCCGCCATGAGGCTTGTTTTGGCTCAAGACCCTGTTTTGGCTCAAGGCCATTGTTTTGGCACAAGGCTGGCTTGTTTCTAGGAGAAACCCTGGTTCCTCCCGTGTCCGGGCGCAGTATATCTGCAGTTTGCTCTTCCCTAACACCACCCCTGTGGGCTGCAAGGTCTTCCTCAGGTGGTCGCATGCCATGTACCCTTGTGCGACAGCTGTTCACTGCAGGGACGCACAGCATCGCTTCACCGTCCTCCTCACCAACGGCAGCACCTAAGCTAAAACTGCGCGCGCCCGCTGAACGAGATGGGCGGTCTGGACGTGGAAGCCCCAACACCGGCAGGATCATCTCGAGCTGCAGCAGATTCGCATCAATTTCCGGTTGACGGGGCAGATGCACAAGTACATGCACAGCAGCTTCAATTGCAAAGGAGCCTCATGGCAGCGTCGAGTGTGGGACTTACTGCAGCCACCTTCGAGGCCATTCCCAACAGACACTTGGACCCTATCAAAAGCGACATCCAGGCGATCAAGCGACACGGTGTCTCGCAGGACGACCTGCGGAAGGTGGTGGACCCTTTGCGCAAAGATTTCGGGGAGTTGCAATATACGGTACACAATGACGTTGAATAATTGCAAATGTGTACTACTAAAATGGAGATCGCTATAGAAGAGATGCGGAAAGATATGGCCAGCATGGCAACCACACCGAGATCATATGCCAGAACATCTCAATCTGCGTTCCCCGATTCGGCTGCGAACTCCGCTACTGACAAGAGATAGATTACCGCCGTGGTGGGCAACCTGAACGGCTTCGCCTCCTTCGATGACGCCCCGAAGTGGGTTCACGCGGGGATTGCAAAGATGGGGGCGCCAGCATGCACGAATACCGACGTTAAAGGCGATTTCCAGGACACCATCTTCTGCGAGTTTGGCAATACAGAGGACCGGGACAAAATTGTCGCGCAGGTCCGCAGCGCCAACCTCAGGAGGAACGGGCACACAGTTTGGTGCACTCCTGACCGCCCGCCATTCGTCCGAGCAGCCAGGAACTTGTGTTTTCGATTCCAGTATTTCCTGAAGAACTCCATGAATATGGAATGGGGCATACGAGTCACCGACCAGAACCCGCACACGGTCGAGGTGGGCGGAGAGCGTGCCATGACAGTGCCCATCGACGGGGATACGGTCAGGAGGGGGTGGGGCGAAGACTGGGGCACGTGGACAGAGATGCGCGACCACCCATAGTTCAAGAAGTTGTTGGATTCATGTGATGGAATAATGCAGCGGGCCAGTAAAAGGGATGAGAAGAGGAGCCAAAGGAGGAACCAAAGGAGCGCCCACAGGCGCCGCAAAGTAGGAAACGCGGCAGGAGCTGACTCGCAGCAGCGCCAAAGCCGATACATCCGACTGGACCGTCTCAGCTGCGACCTTCTCTTCATTGCAGACTTTGGCCAGTGCCTTTGACGTGGGCGACGCGACGGATGAGGTCAACATTTCCTTCGATGCCGCCTCTTCGCCTTCCTACCCAAACGGGCCCAGCCAAGCATGCCTCCCGGGCAAGGGCAGAGTTGCCGGCGGCGGGCGCGTCGCCACATATATAGCTTTGAGTATGGAAGTTTGCCGACCTCAGCCCGTTGATGCAGAAGACTATCATCGAAATACACGTACATAGGCAATGCAACCGCCCGGTTGGTAGTGCGAGTTTGGGCAAAGATATTTTCGTGCAGCCGTCGGCGGAAATCTTCCCGCTCCCAGGGGTATTTACATCGCCGTACTCAGCGCCAGTTGTTCCCATGTATCCGGAAATGGGCAAAAGTACAGCTACCGGCCAATTTTGCGCAGGCGTTGGGTTTTCCGATGCATCGCATTCTTCTTCGATTTCCCCTGCCTCCTCCACATGGCGCCGACGTCGTCGACTCTGCGCGCCAGGTCGCGCCCGACGCGCGGCGACTTGGAACGTCGAGGGCTTGCGCGGCGACTCGTTGGTCAAGCTAGAAGAGCTCCAGCACGCGACGCGCAACGACAACACTGACGTCTCATGCGTTCAGGGGACGCATTTGCATGGGGCTGAGTATTGTTACAGTAAGCACAATCATAAGTTGTTATTCTCTGGTAGTCTTGACGCGCAAAACCGCGCGCGCTGGGGTCGGTTTCTAGGCGGTGCCTTCAGCGGTGAACTCTGCGATCGCTTTCAGAGCGCGCGACGACCGGACCGCCGCGCTGCGCGTCGAGATCTTTGGAGGGGCGCTAACATTCATCAGCGCATGCGCGCCTCGCTCTGGTCTCGAGCGCGAAGTGCGGCAAGATTCCCACGCGAAACTGCAATCTACAATCCAAGCTGCAATCGCGCACAGTGCCACATATATCCTCGGCGACTTCAACGCGCAGCTCCTGCGAGTGGGACCGGGGAAAGACAAAGCTATCGGGCAACACGTGTTCAATACTCAAGGGGCGTCGCTAACGACCCTGCCAGACATCAGGGGCACGCGATATCAAACAGGCAGTTGCCGGTGGAAACACGTACTTCGCACGACCTGGTTGTAGCAAATGCGTTTTTCGATCGCCCAGACTGCGCGAAGATCGCATGCCGGAACATTGGGATCAATCCCATGGGCCCCGACATCTCTACAGCAAGGTTTCCGCAGATCGATCGCGCACTGTGCCACCGCAGCATGTTGTCTACGATTCAAGATTGCTTGACCGCGCGGGAGGCGTCTTTGAACGCCCGTCATTTTCAGCATCGAGTTCGAGAGGCAACATGGGCCTCGTCAGCGCCGACGCTGCATCGACAAGACCTCCCTGCAGGACGAGAGGGTTCAGGCGAAGTTCATTGGATAATTCATCGAAGCCGCGATGGGAAAGCCTTATAAAGAGGACCTGGACACCGCAGCCGGGAATTTAAAGCATGCCGTCTCCTCTGCTGCTGCCGCGCTGCCGGCAAGAGATTCGAGCCAGACGGCCCTGGACCGGCTAAAGAACATTGGATTTGATTCAGGAGCGGTCGCTTTACCGACAGCGCGGAGACCATGGCGACGAGCGACGACTACACAAAGAGATGCGGAAATCCGGGAATCAAGACCGAGAGACATGGCTAAAACATCTTGCGGCGGGTGGTGGTTGGGACGCAGTGAGATACTTGCGGAATCCGTCATGAGTGCAGCGCGCAAGCATGCAGCGCCCAGATGGCACTGTATCAGACACTTCTGAAAGACCGGATGTCTTGGTATATTGTTCTGAATCAACATTTTGGGAGTAGAAGTTGCCCGATCACCGCCCAGACAACCAAGCGCAACTTGGCGACAAACTTCCAATCTACACGGGGGCATTCATCTTGAACGAGTTCCAGAAAGTGATCCGCAAGCTGAAGAAGGGGCCAGGCAGGTGGACCTGACGACATTCCCCATGATTTTTGGAAAGTTTTGGCTTCCGACGAAGTGGCCAGCGACATACTCTTCAACATCTGTCAACAATGCTGGGCGCAAAAAGCAATCCCTGAATCTTGGAAGAGAGCAAACATTGCATTGCTTTTCAAAAAGGGCAACGCCGCTTTGCCAGAGAACTAAAGACCCATTTCGCTATTTCCCGCAGGGCACAAGGTGCTGGCATCAACGCTACACAGCTGTTTGGTTCAAGGAGGTGCAGAAACACGAATAAGAGACTCGCAGTTTGGGTTCCGGCCGCGCCGCGGCACAGGCGACGCTTTCATGCTAACGCGCCGGATGATTGATGCTGCCCACTTGCACGTCAATGGTGGTCTGATTTTACTTTTGTTGGATCAGGCGAAAGCCTTCGATAGATGCAAACCAGACTGTATGTGTGATGCCCTTGAACGCTTCGGCCTGCCTGGTGGTACGGTGGAAATGTGGTGCGCCCGATCTACTCCGCAAGATTTTCCCAAAATCGAAGTTCATGCAGGCCGCCGTTCTGAACGACGACAACTGGCCGGGATCGCCCAGGGATGCCCGCTCTCGCCGTATTTGTTCATCATCGCGCAAACTGTAATGTTGCATGACGTGTATGGCACTCTTGAACTATTCCCAGAGCTTGATTTTGTGATTACACGTGATAGTATGTACGCTGATGATACATTGTTGGTGTCTCAGTTGTTCCAACCTGCAGCAAATGCTGGCAGCAATAGTGAAGGAAGGTCGGAAGTATGGCCTGGAAGTTAATTGGGAAAAGACCTTGCAAGTACAAATGTCCACGGACCAGGCAATAACATCACGAAGTATTGGGCACATAAAAGCAGTGAGGGACGCTATGTATTTGGGCTGTCTTATTTCGTGCGATGGGAAAGTGGCAACTGAACTAAACCGGCGACTTGGGGAAGCGAGCCGTGTCTTCAAGCAGTTGCATCGGACATGGAGCCGGACTTCAATTGGGAATGAACGATAAATCAGTATTTATGAAAGTTGTGTCCTGACCTAGCTCCTGTATTCTTTAGATTCCGTTTTGCTTCTGAAGGCAGACCGTGTGCAAATGCTTACGTCGTTTGTTAGGAATTCGTCCGTGCTTCCAACCTCTGTCGAATATTTTGCTGACCAGGCAAGTTGCTTTATACAATAAAATAATGACTTCGGGATGCCTGGCGCTTGTCAAAGCTGCTGTCTGTAATGGCGATGGAACCCCCAAGAGATGGGTTGGGCGCCGAAAGAGGGGCCGCCCCCGCCAGCAGTGGGCGAGTCAGGTATACAAGTTGCCTCAGCCTGTATAGCAACGGTGCTCTTTCCCCTCCGCCCCCCCGTTTCCTCCTCTCCCTCCGCTATGTATTCCAATGTCGTGATGCGCTTTGTTTTTCTGCGTCACAGTCGTGATGCGCTCGGATGTTCCGTGTCGCAGTCATGAGGCATTCCGCGTCTGCTTCACAGTCGAGTCTGTGCGTGCACGCAGCCGCTCTGTAATGTCTTTTCAGTCATACTTTTTTGCTGAAGAGTTGCCAATCGCGCGCTCTTCTGCCCACGCGTCCCTCTGGCCGCTCGGCTCAGTGGTGGTGGTGGTGGTGGTGGTGGTGGCCGCCATGCGAACCCTGCCATTGGGGCCTTCGGTGGAGCTCCCTGTGGGGCCACGAACCATTTGAGAGGTGCGCCAAAATGCGGCTGGTCCGCCATGCGAACCCTGCCACTATGGAGCCACGAGCCGTGTGAGGGGTGCGCCAAAATGGGGCGGGGCCGCCATGCGAACCGTGCCACTGGGGCCTTCGGTGGAGCTTCCTATGGGGCCACGAACCGTGTGAGTGGTGCGCCACAATGGGGCTGGGCCGCCATGCGAACCCTGCCACTGAAGCCTTCGGTGGAGCCCCCTGATGGGGCCAGGAGCCGTGTGAGGGGTGCGCCAACATGGCGCGGGGCCGCCATGCGAACCTTGCCATTGGGGCCTTCGGTGGAGCTCCTTATGAGGCCACGAATTGTGTGAGGGGTGCACCATAATGGGGCGGCGCCGCCATTCGAACCCTGCCACTGTGGTTTTCGGTGGCATAGGGGGCCACGAACCGTGTGAGGGGTGTGCGCCTAATGCGCCGGGGCCGCCATCCGAACCCTGCCACTAGGGCCTTCGGTGGAGCTCCCTATTGAGCCACGAAGCGTGTGAGAGGTGCGCCAAAATGCGGCGGGGCCGCCATTCGATCCCTGCCACTGGGACCTTCGGTGGAGTTCCCTATGGGGCCACGAACCGTGTGAGGGGTGCGCCCAAACGCGGGGCCGCCATGCGAACCCTGCCATTGGGGCCTTCGGTGGAGCTCCCCATGGGGCCACGAAGCGTTGTACTGGGTGGGTGAAACGCAGGGCGGAGGGGGAGGAGGGGGAGGGGGAGGAGCAGGAGAAAGAGGAGAACGCAGGGACGGTTATATCAAAATCAGGACCCAACACCACAGGATGGTTTGGGACAACATAAACATCCACTTTCGACTGTCCGCGCGGAGTTCTTGGATCTGCGGCGCCCCTCCGACCGTTGAAAGTGTATGTTTACGTATACGTTGATTCTTCCTCTAGGCCCAGCATGATGTCCCGTGGGAGAAGCTCGCGGACTGGACCGACATGACCCTGCTACTCTCGGAGTACCAGGGGAAGACGGGCTTCATGGTGACCCTGGCGAAGACGCAGTGGCGCAGCCGGAAGGCTGCCAGGGAGGGCGCGTCGAGCGTGGCTGGCCAGGTCGAGGTCCGGTTCCAGAGGAGGCGGCTGAACGAGTCCGCACAGGTCATCATGCGCCAGGACTTGCCCATGCAGGAGCACCTGAACCTGGCCGTGCGACACATCGCTGCGCTCGGCCGCTCCGACGTCGGCGGCCTGCTCGGCTTCGACCCGCACCCCGAGTCCCTGGAGGCCGTCACGCCCGAGTGCCAGCGCCACAGGGACGGGCTCGACGGGCAGCAGGTCGGAGGGGCTCGAGGCGTGCACCACGGCGGTGGGTCGGCCAGGGAGGCAACGAGCTCGGCGAGGGAATTCCGTGCACGGGTGCGCCAGCGCCCTCCAGGTTGGGCCGCTGGGGCGTCCAAACACCGAGCCCCGTGGCCGACCGAGCGACGTGGTGCCTACGCCGAGCCTCTCCCGGCAGGGCCCCCGCTTCAGGCCGAACTGGAAGATCCGCTGGGAGAAGATCCGGGAGCAGCGCGGCCGGCTGGAGGACCCCCACGGGGGCACGGGCGACAACCAGGCGCCGCAGGCGAGCAAACCTTGCAGCAGCACACGCCTGTCGGAGCTCAGCGCGGATGTCTCGGACCTGCGTTGGGCCCCCCTCCCAGGCGCGCGGGGCGCGCGCCGGAGGCGCCGCCAGAGAGGCTCAGCGCCGATCCAAGAAATCCGCGCGGACGCTCGAAAGTGCGCGTTTCGGGCAATGATAGGAAAGAAAGCCCACCCACACAAGTCGACCGAGGAAATCTGCACGGGTTGACTCGAAATTTGCATGCCACTGTGCCGGTGCAGTCCCAACTCGGTTTCGCTCTTCGACGTGTGTTTCGCCGAGCACGCATTCGCCTGCCCTTGGACGCCGATGAGTGACCCTGCCCGGGTGCACCCGGAGAGCGGCGGCCCCTCGTGCACCCGAGGAGTGCCCCCGGCAGCCCTCGCCAGGAGGCGCTCTGCCGCGGGAGCCCCTGCCGGCCCTTCTCCCCAGGCGGCCGCCAGCCTGATGAGCACCAGGGCGATGATGTGCGTGTGCGCCAGCGCCGAGGCCGGCGCCGAGGCGGGGGCGTCCAGGAGGAGGAGGAGGAGGAGGAGGAGGAGGGGGAGGAGGAGGAGGAGGGGGAGGAGGAGGGGGAGGAGGGAGGAGGAGGAAGCGGAAGGAGGAGGGAGGAGGAGGAGGAGGAGGAGGAGGAGGACGAGGAGGAGGAGGAGGAGGAGGACGAGGAGAGGGAGGAGGAAGCCGAGGAGGACGCCCCGGCGGGCCGCGCCGAGGCCGGCGCCGGCGGCGGGGGCGTCCAGGGCGTCCTCGCCGAGCTCCAGACCGGCCGGCTTGCCGAGGCGACGTGGGACTGACGAGCTGGCTGCATGGGGCCCGGCCAGCGTGCGGGGCCGTGCGGCGCCGTGGAGCGGAACTGTGCTTAAGTCGGGCCTGTCCCCCGGGAGGGGGGATGTCCGACGAAAAATACAAAGTACCCCAAATATACTCCACGAGGACCAAGAAATCTTCAGAAACATAGTCCCCAGACTATTTTTGGACTGTTTGGGGACTATCCTTGGGGTATTTTTTTCTTTTCGTGGAAAATCCCCCTGTAGGGGGACAGGCCCGACTGAAGCACAGTTTCTCGGAGCTCCAGGCGGGTTTCTTGGATCGGCGCTGGGGCCCCTTTGGCGGCGCCTCTGGCGCCGCCCCCGGTTCGGTGCGTTGTTCAGGGAAGCTTTGAACTTCACGGAGAGTTTCCTGTTTGGGGGCGTTTCGCGGCCACTGGCGGTGAACGGGAGTGATGGGTGGACGGTTGGCGCGAGGCTTGTGCCACTACTTGCCGCCAATCGGTCGCCGCTATCTGCCGCTGTTTGCCACTGGTCTGCCAACATCTTGACTGAGAGAGGCTTCCGCAAGGACGCACGCAACCCTGGCGCGCTCCGTGCGCCAGGGAGGGAGATTCAGCGCCGATCCCAGAAGTCCGCTCGCTCGGACCTCCGAGAAAAATTCTGGCTGTGTAATTTCTGAATCCGTTTTATCAATGCGACTCGAGCAGCAAGAATTCAGCTCGGGATGCCCATCGTATCCCGAGGGCCCCGTCCCTCGGGGCCCCCTCTTGGAGCCTCCGGTTGGGTGACGCTGCAGCGGGCTGCGCCGAGGGCCTCCGATGGACGGCCTGAGATGGCCTGGCCCGCACAGTGCGGTCGTGCTTGCGTTGATTCTGAGATGTGACAACTACTGCCGGCTCGCGTAGTCAGCTCTGTCTCGCAAGAGCCATCTTCAGTCACAGCTTGCCGATTCGGAATTTTAGCTGTGTCGTACCAATTCCTCCAATTCCCATCCACCTTCTTGGAGTCTTCCTCTCAATCCCTTCTTACACACATTATATATATATAACTATATTATCATACGCACCTCTCCGAGGGAGTAGAGCTCCGAGGCGATCAATGTGTATGCGGGGCGCCGCGTCCGCGATTTTTCTCGCCTTTTCTCGTGACGTCAGGGTCCAAAAACACATGGGAATTTCAACATTCTAACAGAAAACCTTCAAAAGCACATTGTAATTTCAATGATTTTGACCCCGATTCTCAGAGAATGGCGATTTCGCCTGAGACATCCTCCCAAAATCGAGCCCCGACGTACCTTCTGGTACCCCAGACCCCGCCTTGGAGCCTCTTGGGAGCCTCCTGGAACCTCCTGGGGCCTCCTGGGGCTTTCTGTACCTTCTGGTATCCCAGACCCCGCCTCGGAGCCTCCTGGGGGTCTCCTGGAACCCCCTGGGGCCTCCTGCGGCCTCCTGGAGCCTCTTGGGGCCTCCTGGAGCTTCCTGGGGTCTTCTGGGGCCTCCTGAGGCCGCCTGGGGCCTTCTGGGGTCTCAGAACTACATGCACACACAGAGACACAAATCACACCCAACACATCACACGCTAGACAAGCATAACACACACACACACACACAAACAAACACGCACACACACAACACCTACAACGCACAGAAAACACGCACAACACAGAGCACACATCAAACACACACACACACAACACTCACAATCTCGGGGCCTCCTGGAGCCTCTTCCGGTATCCAAGTCGGGCCTCCTGAGGTTTCCTGGGGGGGGCCCTGGTACACACATCGCAAGGTGTGGCAACCCCACTTGCGCTCGAGTGCGACCTCGATCTTAGATTCTTCTGCGTTCACCTACTGCCTCTTCCCCTTCTCTTAGGCACGCCCTGGCGGCGCCGCCCCAGCTTCCCCTTGTCCATCTCCGATCCTGCAGTCATGGTGTCTTCCTGCTTCAAACGCCCTTTCAGTTTTTTGTATGAGCCTGGGCACACACGTGCCACTTGTATGTGCGTGTTTTTTGTGTTCTCTCTCTGTCTATATATATATATATATGTATGTATAATTATATGTACATGTGTAAATGTATACATGAATGCGTATGTGTACATCTATGTATATGCACATGTTGTCGGAGTGTTGGGCCTCCCCGCCCGCTGCCAGGAAAATCCTTGTGGGCAGGAAACCATCATAATGGCCAAGACATGCCCTAGACGGCCCAACCGGATGCCAAGATCGCCTCTACACGCTTCCAAGACTGACCAGAACGCGACAAGAACGCTCCTGAGTACCTCCATGAGGCCTCCGAGAGGTGAAAATAATTGATCTCCCTATGGTTTTGCATTGATTTCAGCGTGCACTCGCTTTCCTCGTCTTCAGAGAGTCCAAGATTACCCCAAGATGGCCCAAAGGGCGCCAACAATGTTCGAATAACAGCCAAAGGCCCAAGAGGGCCCCAAGATGCACCTAGGCATTCCTGGACGCCGCCAGCGCGGAACGTGACCTCATCTCGGGGGGGGGGGGGCGGGGCCGATGACGGTCGCTATCCCGAAAAAAGAAGAAGCTCCTGCAGCGTTTCGTGTTCTGGCTCCAGTGGATTTGCTACCTGGACGTTGCTGCACCGTGCCTCCCGCTCGCACCCGAGCGCGTCCCTCCCGGCCGCACTTCCTGCACGACGTGCCCGCCTCGCCGCGCCCCGCAGAGCTTGACGCGCCGAGGGCCCCCCTCCGCCGCGCGCAGCCTCCTCTCCTGCCGTCCTGCCCCTTTCCCTCCTCCTGTGCCGCGGTTCGCTCTGCCTGCAGCTGGTGCTGGTGGTGCTGCTGCAGCCGTTCCTCCCCCTCGCCTCCGTGGCCTCCTCACGCTCCGCGCCCCCTCCTCCTACCACTCGCTCTCATGCTCTCTTTTTTGTTTCTGTCGGGGCCCCGCTCGCGAGCCTCTTCCCCCTCTCGGGGCCGTCCTGATCGAACCCGATCCCGTCCTCCCAGCCCCTCCCCCCCTCACCACCCGCACGAAGGTCACGAGCGGAGAACGTACTCGTGCCCGCGCCCTCGCGGTCTGGCTTCCGGGGGCGCGCCCCCGCGCACGCGCGGGTGCACGGAGGCGCTCCGGGCGGGGGCCTCCGCCGCAGAAGCGCCCCGCGGCCGCGGGGGCGTGGCACCAGGGGCCGGGCCCGCCCGTGTGCTGCGCCCAAGGAGGAGGAGGAGGAGGAGGAGGAGGAGGAGGAGGAGGAGGAGGAGGAGGAGGAGGAGGCGGGGAAGACCGTCGGTCTCCCCCCCCCCGACGTTGCCGCCGCCTCTGCCGCCGTCGTCTCGAGGGTGCGGGCGCGGCGACGTCTGCCGAGGGAGCTGTCTCTATAGCGAGCCAGCCCGCGGGGCGCCCCCCCATCGAGAGGAGGAGAACACACCTT